TCGGGTTATGGTCCATCGCAACATTGCGAGGTAGGCTGTCCGTTTTCTCTCCACTCCAACACTACAGTTCTCATCGCGCTAGCTGTTATTTCAACCTTTACAAAAACCAATGGTTTCGCTTGCAGCTGTAAATAAGGCGTTTTGAATTCCCTCCCACAGCTCTTTTACACCGAGTTGCTGATGAATATTCTCAAAGAGCAGAAGTACAAACCGGCTCGCTGTCGATTGTGATAATAGGTCTCGACGGCTTGCCTTCCCGTTGGAAGGTGTTCATACTTTAAAAGGGCGTACGCGTATCTTCGCAAAAACAAGGTAGTGTTTCTAGTCGATGGTAGGTCTTGTCGTCAATCTATTACAACAAGATTGAGCCGAGTATCTTGACGAATTTTCTTGTGCTATAATCTAATACCGCAGACAACCGGCGAAGTCGTTTAACCTCAACCCACTTGGAGAGGTTTCACCGTGAAGGTTGAATTTTCTAACTGTTATTCCAAAGATGCTGACGTTGAAATCCGCAATTACAATTTCTGCATCGAGGTTTCTATAAGTGCGGTCGAGGCGCTTATAAAGGGCATCATTGGTTATATCATTCTTCTTTTCCGTCGGGGCATGGACACAAATCAGTGTTATGGTGAAAATTTTTAATTTCATACGGATCATAAGCTAGACGCTTTTCCACCATAAATGTCACAAGGACCTACTCATCTCTGTCCTTGTCTTGTCCATCGTATTTCTTGGACATTACCGCCGCTTTCATTAGGTTTCACTTTTACGAGGAAATCAGCCAGCTGTGTATCGCTACCTTCCCAATTTAGAGACCGGACATTGCAAGGGATGTCTTTAAATCATTGTCCTTATTACGATTGTATTGGTGTATGGGTTTATGTACCTTTAGAAAGACAAGAGTATACTAAAAACTAATGATTATTTTGATGTAACTTCTGGCAAAGATGTCACTGGCAGTCATACCAAGCCAGACAGGAATATACTTCGACAAACGGATTTTTGGGCGTAATTTAAATTAAAATGTCTTAATATTTTTGCCCAACGAGTACATTAGGTATATGGAGACCCAAAATTGTTTAGTATATAATTGTATACTGAAAGATAATTATTTAGGAATCTAAAAATATTCTCAAATAAATACGCATTCATTTGCTTATCGAATTCTCATTATTATCGACTTAGTTTACTTCCTCATGCTTTAAGCATATATTAAGAATCTGCCGGCATGAAATCTGTAAATAAAGGTGTTTATGAGGACACCAAACGTCTAAATACTTTCATATTTTTTATATTTCACTGAGTGAATTTTATGCAAAATTTTCACTTCACACATCAAATAAGTAGTATTCGATGGCATAAAAACAGAAATATTAATAACTAGCTGACCCGGCAGGCGTTGTCCTGCTTGAAATTATGTGTTTTCAAATGGAAAGAAAGTTGAAGTTGAGTAAATGTACAGAGAAGATGGTTTTCCAACTCGTGAACACGCCCCGTATACGTCGTCGTATTTCCAGATTTATGCCACACACTTCTGGGGACTATCCTTGTGGCCTGTTGATTATCATCGCAAGCACCATTTCTTTAAAAACGAAAACGTTCGAACTGAAATGGCAAATCGTTGGAACTGAAAGGAATTCGTAGAATCATGCATCCTGCCCCGTGTATTTGATATCTGCAGCACAATCATCATTTCTAAATTTCGTCTCATGAAAACTACGAAACATATAATGACAGATCCAACTTTGAGACGCAAACAATGCGGCGGCATATCAAGCTTCTCCAAGGATTTTAGAAACTTCACTTCATAATTCACGGCTTCGTATTTTTGGCAGCTAAAATTGCGGGTGTACTCAAACTATCGTAGTTACGATAATTACGTCAATGTTGGCAAAAACGTTTGTGATGAGTACACATTATATTTCGTTGAAGTAAATTAGCAAAAAGCAGGTGGAATTGATATCAAACCACTGGAAGTATCAACCGGAATTTGCTTATTTCCAATTCTTATTGAATACGATGTAAAATGTCTTCGGCAATGTAATTTTTGTTCGTGTCCCATAATTGACGCGGATTTTAAGCCTGATATGTCGAAATGATCATCGCGAAAATTGTATGAACTTCAGTGGCATGCGAAGTAGCTATCGTATCCACCATCGTTTGATTCAATTGATTATAATGTTTCAGCAATTGTAATTGCTGACATGCTTCTCAAAAAATTGCACACACCGTACCATCCACAGTACGCATTACATTAATAAATAGCAACCAAAAGTAGAACCAATCGTCGTTTTTCGGGTGGATTGTGTAAATTCGTCGTAATGCATTAGTTGAGAATACACCTGGATGTCCATCTACTGGTTGACCTTGCTTTCGGTGTAACTATTTTATCGGCGATGCATTCCAAGTACAATATCAAGGTATTTCCGAATATAGCAATATTCTCGCAAAGGGATCACTGACGCAAGTTAAGAAAAAACTCGTCAAAGTCAATTTTGGTACTGGCGGTGTTTCCACTGGCTGTGATGTACAGGGTGGCTGATGAAAGCCGCTACCAAAAAAAATTTAATAACTTTTTTTCTATTTAATGATTCTGATTATTTTTTTTTTTTTTGCAGATTGATTTTTACATTTAACAAAAATGAATAACTGGGACACTGAAACAAGAATTTGGATTGTCCGCCGCTATCACGCACTGGAGTCCGTACTTTCGGTTCAAAGARWGTATAGGCGCACGTTTGGCGGCAATCCTCCGAGCAGATGGACCATAATGAGACTTGTAAATAGTTTCGCCGAGCATGGGACAGCCAGCAGAAGACCTTACAATCGATACCCTTCAGTTCGAGCGGAGGAAACAATCGCTGCTGTAGCTGCTGCCATACAAAACAATTCACGTGTTTCGACAAGAAGCTTATCTGCTCAAATGGGTGTAAGCAGACAGTCATTACAGCCAATTATGCACAAAGATTTGGACTTATTCCCATATAAAATTCAAATGGCCAACAAACTGAACGCTGCAGACTTGCCGATTCGCTTGGAATTTCGCCAGAAGATGCTTCAAATGGTGGAAGACGATGGAAACATGTTGAACTGTCTTTTCATGTCTGACGAGGCCCATTTCGATTTAAACGGCAACATAAACAAACAAAATTGTCGAATATGGAGTGCTTACAACCCACAGATACTCCATGAGACGGAATTGCATCCACTTCGTGTCGGGCTCTACTTCTTCGAAGAAAGCGGTCACACCGTTACGGTTACTGGAGACCGTTACGTGAGCATGTTGAGAGAGTTTTTCTATCCAGAATTACGCCGAATGAGAATTTCTTTCAACTCTGTGTGGTTTCAGCAAGATGGTGCAGCTCCTCACATAGTCCAACCTGTTATGACAGAATTGCGACGAAAATTTCCCAATAAGCTGATTCCGTTGGCCACCCAGGTCGCCTGACCTTACCTTACCTTACCGCACTTGACTTTTTCTTGTGGGGTTATTGCAAACAGGAAGTCTACAAAGCAAAACCAACAAATTTGAATGAACTAAGGCAATCGGTTCGAGAAACAATTGCTTCTATTCCTGTCTCAACTTTCCAAACAGTAATGAAGAACTTTTTGGTAAGATGCCGCACATGCATCAACGAGCAGGGGGGCATTTAAATTCGATTATTTTTAAAACTAATTAAGCTATATTTAATAAAACTGAATGAGCTCTAACATGAATAAAAGAAAAATGAATTACATACTCTAAAAAAAAAAAAGTTATTTGAGTTTCTTAATGTAGCAAAATTCATCAGCCACCCTGTATTCCCTGGGTTGATGTTAACTCTTTGGCCATTCTCCAAATGAACTGCAAGACGCACAACAGTCGGAAAACGTTCATGAATTTCAAAAGTAAATATCTTACAAAGAACTGCAATATCACGTATCGACCCATTTGTTACTTGCTGATCTCATCTCGTTAAGGCCAATAACCGCCCTGTTTCTTTCTCTGGTGACGTATTTGCAAACGTATTTGATCGATTTAACCAAACTCYAGTATTCAACATTGACATGAGTTTTAAATGTGAATTAGACAACAGTGCCGAATATGGTACAATCCATGTGTTATCGGCTTCGATATTCACTCCTCTAAGTTGAATGCTAAATGTTCTGCCATTGTCGTGTGGTAAGCTACGCCGATAGATTGGATATCCATGATTTCCAGCTTGCGCTTCGGTGTTTCCGTTTGCGTGGATAGTGTTTCGTGCATTTACTGTCAGACGTGCAAAACGAAGTGGGAGTGTGGTGTCCGCAAGGTCCATGAACCATATTGGTCATCACTTGATATAATACTGGATTTTTCTCTGTATCAGGAATTTCATTTGATCTGGTGTAACCACCATCCGCCATCCAAAGAAGAATGTATGTGTGCGACAAACTTTTTTGCAGCTCAACGGAGTACACCCAGCAGCTAACACCACCATATATACCATTCGTTTCTTCAAGATAAAGTCCACCAACCATCGTAGCTGTTGAAAAGTCGTACTGTGACATAGTGACGCTTGCTGATTGACCGCGATCTATAATTACACACGTATATCATCGCAGCCTAGGAGTACTCGTTCATGTGTCTTGGGCTGCCATACGGTGATGGCAAAAAACGCCGACCGATATTAAAGCGACCTCTTCGTGGCTTCGTAACAAATTTCTATCTGTAATTGATCACTCCGTGTCAAAAACACAAAGTTTTCACTGAATAACTTTCAATAAAATTTCTTTTAAATAGCCGGAATAAAAAAGCAAACGATTGAAATTGAACGATTCAAAAAATTTCCAAATCAAAATATTGAAAAACAAAACAAAAAATGTTAAAAAAGGAATTTGTTTGGAAAAAGGTTATTTCTTGGAATGAACCAATTTTCCAACTTTTCCTTATGAAAAGCAAACAATATCGATGTACCTTCAGTCATTAGTTCATAATATATGGTATGCATATTATTATGTATATTTATATTATATACCTCCGTCAGCATAAGTCTCACAACCGTAGCCATCTTGATAACCCATGTTCCACGTTCCTTCGTATCTAGCGGTAGAAACAGTACTTTCTCGAATACCATATCTTCCCTTATGTCCATCTTTTGACCATTCCCCTCGATATATTTGACGACCAATTTGTTCTACACCCAAACCATGCCGTCGTCCATTTTGCCATTGGCCTTCATAATGTGAACCGCTAAATTAAAATTAATTAATATAAAAATATATATATGTGCATAAAAAATAAATATGTAAATGAGTAGTTTTGTCTTATACTACATAATTAACTAAATTCAATACAAGTATGTCGTGTATTTCAATTGCAGGAAGTTTTGAGTGGTTACGTAACAAAATTTGAAGATACCTGAAGATCTTCATTTCTGAGTACTAATATGATCCTTTCTGTTACGTATTCACTTTAAAAATTCACACCAATATAATTTTTTTAACAAAATATAAATGTGCTATCAATGGTCTATATTTATCTTTTGTTATATTATTTTTTGATTAATATTAGGCTTACAACCTTTTCCGCTTCTTAGGTATTACAAGAACAAAAAGTGTTTTGCATATTGATAATTTCACGTCTTAAATATATAATTGGGGTACTCACAACCTGTCTTAAAAAAAAGTGCTGTTGGATTAAATACAAAAATGAGTTTACACGTTTATAATTCTCAATGCTATGTTTTCGAATCGTTATAACTTATAATTCTATGAGACATGTGAAACCCCTAAATGAAATAACTTTAATTGAATAAACCTAAATAACTTAATTCCATGTACCACTATATCTAACAAAAAATGTAAAATCTTTTGTTTTAAAGGGTCTATGACCGAATTAATATTCATTGAGTTGAAACTAGTTGCAATGGTTTTTGCTTCTAAACTCGTTCTACTAAAGTCACAAATCGTCATATTGTGCTGCTATTTTCCCCGTTGCTATTACTGGCTTTAAATCTATTGACGAGACAAATATGTTATTCGACAAATATTTCTGAGCGAACAGATTAATTATTTTTATTTTGTCTGCTTATATGCTATATAGAGAGCTCGTTGCGCTTAACCAATAGTTTCGAGGGGATTGAATTGAAAGTTAAAGCTATGGACATACATATAGTATGTAATTGAAAGTACATTACAGCTAACAGCAACACAGAGGGACAATAAAGTTCCTATTTTTTTCAATATTTTAGATATAACCAAATTTTATTAATATTAGATAAGATGGTAAAATAATTGTGCTAAGTTAAGGTTTTAAGCTAGCAGGGGTAAGTAACTTGAAGGAAGTCGGCGAAGTTCCTTTAGGTGCTGACAAAATTTTATATTAAAATAAAAAAACATGTTGCTTTTAAACATCCATTACTCGATTAAATCCTGAATAAAATGCAATCAAAATTTGGCATCTTCTTGGCGTATATCGAAGACCATAAATTTAAAATTTAAAAGGTTATAAAAAAAAACTGACACATAAGGCCAAAGCCTTTGAGGGCTTTACTATACTGACCTAGTACCATCACCCTGAAGTGGAATTTCTCACCCCCTAGACAATAATCCCAAAAATGTTCCACAGTGTTATTATATGTAGTATAGTAAAATTTCACATACTTTCGGCATTAAACCAGGGTATATCCAATATTATAAATTCAGTTCAGCATAAAGTGCTACAGAGCTCGTATCTGGCAATACTATACATCTATGGAAGGTCTTGACATAACCTACAAAACGACGCTGATTATTAGTTTTGGATATTGCGTTCAACAGTTATAGACGTGTAAACATGGAGTTCACTAAGGCCGAAATTTTCGCTATTTTAAATTTTCSTTCGTTAAAAGCAAATCCGGTGTTGGGTGTTTTGGAGGATGGTACTCTATCACTTCCAACTGCGGAGGAATGGTTTCGATGATTCAGAGCTGGTGAAAACGACATCATGGGTAAGTCAACTGGCGGAAAAACTGTGACGACGAGTATCGATCAAATCATGGAAAACCTCGAGTTAGACCGGCACGAGGTATTTCGTGACGTCGAGCAGTTAGACACTAAATCATTTTAAGCCATCTACAGAGTGCTGGATGCACAAAAAAGCTTGATGTGTGGGTGCCGCATTATTTTACGCAAAAAAACTTTTTGGACCTAATCAACGCCTGCGATACGCTGCTGAAACTAATTGAAATCTACCCATTTTTGAAGCGGATGGTGACTGCCGACGGAAAATGGTGCACATACGACAATATCAAGCGAAAACGGTCGGAGTTGAATTCCGGTGAATTGCCAAAAACAGTGGACGGGATGGACGGCCAGGAAGGTTTTGATGTGTGTTTGGTGGAATTGGAAGGCAATCATCCACTATTAGCTACTCCTATATGACCAGACGAATAATTCTACCATCCACTGCGAACAACTGAATCGCTTGAAGCAGGCGCCAGAAGCATCCTGAATTGGCCAACAGAAAGGATGTAGTGTTAAACCAGGATAACGTCAGACTACACACTTTGTTGATGACTCGTCATAAGCTATGTGAGCTCGGATAGGAGGTTTTAWCGCATCCACCATATCGCCCGGACATACCGCCATGTGATTACTATCTGTTCCTAACCATGRGTAACCCCTTGTTGGTGTAAAGTTGATCTCAAATGAGGCTTATGAAATGGGGCTGTTCGAGTTCTTCGCAAATAAAAAGGGAGACTTCTACGAGGGAGGTATTATGAAGTTGCCGTCTATATAGAAAGCGGAACGGAGATATTATAAGGCAAACCGCAGGATTGAAAAGTTTTTATTGATGTAGTATTGACTACATTTTATCTGCTTTTGAAATAACTAAATACTGGTTGGTACAAGTCGAAAACAGATTTTTTTTTTATAAAACTTGATTTTATCATTTAATATAAATATCCTAGAGGGTGATAATATGTCTATAGAGGTCAAAAACATTTTCAGTAATATTTATTTAATTAATGTACAATATTTGCCTTAAACCTCAAAATAAGCTCCAGTTTTTGAGATTACCTCTTCATTGTTAATAAATTTCTTAACAACGGGCATTCTTTTGAGGTCTGAGGACAGGAAATAGTCGCTAAGGCGATCACGGTGGATGAGAAGCATTTCGTTATTGTTTTAAATGGGGGACCCACAGTACAGATCTTTGGCAAACTTAAATATTCACTCATATCGTCACTCATAGGTACCTTTTTTTGTTATCTTCAGAGCGTCAGCTCGAACAAACTTTACTTTACGGGCATCCTAAATTGTTTTTGTTACTTTTTTGATGTTTTCGTCGGTTCAGGGTGTCCACTGTTTTCATCGTCCTCGGTGCTCAATTCGCATCGGTTGATTTCTATGATATCTAATTAAGGCTTATCAATTCAAACCCATTTTGTTCCCCTAAAAAGTAGAGCTTCATAAACTCACGAAACTCTTTTTAAGCTTACATAATTTGCTTTACCAAAATGCTTTATCTCATAAATTAATAGTCGTCAGCTGTCAAATTTGTACATGTATCTTTTAAAGGCATGCAAATAATGTAGATGTAGTGGTGGCAGCACTATCTAAATACTAGCCTACCCACTTTTCAACCCACTTGTAATTAAAAGAAAAAATGCTGTCTGAGTTAAACCTATAAGGGGGTGGCGCCAGGCACACTTTTTAAAAAAACTAGTCAAATGTGGCCAAAATCCGCATCAATGCGAAGATCTTCAATGTATCGGTGATTTGCACCCTCACCGCGACTTAAGAGAAGGACGATATGACCAATGACTTTAACGCCAGACCGAACAAAGAAGGTATCAATGCGAAGATCTTCAATGTATCGGTGATTTGCACCCTCGCCGCGACTTAAGAGAAGGACGATATGTCCAATGACTTTAACGCCAGACCGAACAAAGAAGGTATCTTTGGAGCAATAGTCGGAAATTCAGCCTCCACGAARAAACATCCCCAAATGGGTAGAAGCTCAGAAAATGATACCTGGCTGTCTCCGAAYCGAAAAGCCACCAACCAGATCGATCATGTTGTGATGTGTGTTTTAGACGTGTGTACGCTCCGAGATCCTAATATCAACTGAGACCACTATCTTGTTGCAGCCAAGATACGCACTCGCCTCTGTGCAGCATAAAACGCACGTCAACCAACTTAAGGAAGGTTCGACGTCGAGAAGCTACAATACTAACAGAGCGTCGAATGGTATTCCACTTGATTTTCACTTCTGCTTTCTGAGAGGTCTTATCAACATCTCGGTATATAGAAACTGTGGGACGGCATTTCCTTCAACCGAAACCATCAGATATTGCGCTGGTACGATGAAAAGAGACGATGACATTAGAGAGAAAGCAAACTACCTACTTCACAACTTTACAATCAATCAGCACACATGTGGGATGGGATAGATACAAAAAGTTAAAAAGGGAATCGAGTGGTACTTGCAGCCAAAACAAAAGAGGGGTCGAAATGAGAGTGAAAGCACAACGTATGAAGATGGCAAACCCGATTCCCCAATCGATGACGATGGAGCAGACGTTCTATTGCCCGATCATGAAGAAGTCAAAATAGCATTTACCCGTATGAAAAACAGCGAAGCGGCAGGGGCCGATGGATAACTGGCCGAGCATTTCAAACACGCTGGCGAAGAACGGCTAAAGAGCATGCATCAGCCTCTTTCTAAAATATGAGGAGATGAAAGCATGCCTGACGATTGGAATTTAAGTACACTCTGCACAACCCACAAAAAGGAGACCTCACAATCTGCGCCAACTACCGTGATATAAGCCTCTTTAACATCGCATATAAGGTTCTATTGAGTATAGTGCTGTAAAATATTAAAGCCCGTCAACAAACTGATTTGACTTTATCAGTATGGAAAATATCAGTGGAAAATCAACAACTAACCAGATATTCGCCATACGCCAAGTCTTGGAAAAGACCCGTGAAAAGAGAATCGATACGCACCACCTCTTCATCGATTTGGAAGCTGCGGCTGCGTAAACTACTATTGAGCAACACCAAAAGCTTCGTCAAGATCAGGAAGAACCTCTCCGAGCCGTTAAATATCAAACGAAGCCTCAGACAAGACGATTACTTTTGTGCGACTTCTTCAATCCGCTACTGGAAAAAATAATTCTAGCTGCAGAACTAAACCGAGAAGGTATCATCTTCTTTAGGAGTGTACAACGCTGGCGTACGGCGATTATATTGATATCATTGGCTCTAACAACCGCGTCGTTAGTTCTGCAAAGCATATGGGTCTGGTTATGAACGAAATCAAGACGAAACATCTTCTGTCATCAAACAAACAGTCGTTGCACTCGCGACTTTACTTTAACTACCGACAGCCATAGCTTCGAAGTCGTAAATAATTTTATCTATTTTTGGAGGCTTTTTATATATTTGGAGCGTTCTTTAGAACGACGAGCAAAAACCAAACTCTATAAGTCACTCCTTTGCGTGTTGACTACGGCGAATATCATATTGGATGAAACGATTAGTTGTATGAGATACAGCTCTGAAAGTATTCGATATCCGCGGGGGAAACTGAGGAAAACCTGGTTAGGAAAGACCTAGCTTCGCTTGGTGTCTCGAATTGACGCCAAGTACCGAAAACACGAAGCAACTGGCGCTTTTGTAAATTAGGCTATAACCGCGTAATCGGTGTCTACGCCAGGATAGAAGAAGAAGGTATATAAGCCGATATCTATATCGATCGATAAATACTCATTTTTGAAATTGTGTTGATTTTCATCAATTAAATATAATATATAGCTACATTACAGTTTACAGTCAGTTTGAAAATATGATGTTAGAGGCTAATTTTAGCTAACTTTCCGTTGCTAAAACCGAAAATGGTAGTAAAATTTTCTAATATTTATAAATTTAAATATTTTTGTATTCTAGTCAAGGGGTGTGGGTAAAACCACCACGATTTACAAAAATACCTATACGTGATGGAAAATTTTTTAACTCAAATTTGTAATCAGGACACCTCTTATACCCCACAGACCTCTTAGCACGTTAGTCGCGAACTTTAACTTCAGATTAGTTGAGTAGTACTATTATTGTGTTTTGGTATTACTTCAATTTCTAATTCTGGATTCCTTCATATTGTTTTGTATATATAAAACTAAGGTACTTTAAGTTTTACCGCTCATTAGATGTGAATGCAAATGACGCGAATGTTATAACAATTATACTTTTGTTTATGTCTATAAATTTAATATTTTCTTTAAAGCACAATATTTATTCTGCTATTGGGTCTCTATTATACTAAATAGAGTAACTTAGTGTAATTATTTTCGAAAGGTTTTCACCTCAATTTTCTTTAGAAAACGTTTTAATGTTATTAGCGGCCTCATTGCTTGATCAAAAATTTTTAGAAACCCTTTTTGTGAAGAAACCTTAAAAGGAAATGAGTATTAGACACAATATTATTTTATTTCTACCTACGGTAACTTTTCTGTAGTATGTTATTTCTAGTGTGTAAGTTACTATGAAGATTTAATTGAATAAAAAAAAACATATTACCTTGGCCAAATATATGCACCAGATACCTCAAAACCATAATTCCATGCACCGGCATATGCTCCTTGATGCTTAGGCCCGGTACAAACACCATGCCCATGGGCCTTACCGTCCTCCCACCCGCCACAAAATGTTCCTCCATCCTCAAAATCGAAACGCCCACCATTTATTTGGGGACGTTTTGAACTGTCCAATGGAACAGAGTTCTGGGGGTCGTTTGTAGATGAAGCCTGCTCTACTCCAAAAGAAGTCATCGTAGTAGTTGTATCGAAGTCTCAAATCGAATATCTTTTATTTAAGAATATTCTTTTTTCTATCAAATGTTATTTTGCTTAAAGCATGTTCATATACTATTTTTAAGAAGTATACAGTAGTCGACTTTCCACTCTTGTATAAGAAATTCGATTATTATTTGTTTGTGCCTATTGAGTTTGCGGATAACTGAAAAGAAAAAAATAAGATATAGAAATATACGTATATATCTTTTTGCCTTGGATTATCTATCCTACTAAACGGTAATATTTTTTATATGTGCTATTATCATACTGCGAGTTGATGAATAATATTTTAATAAATTAATGAGCAGTATAAATGAATAACTTGACGGTCCAACCCGTGAACATTGCCTTTTTATGACTAATCTTGTGACATTGCATAGGTGCATTTAAATTTCGAAGCAAAATGAGCCAGTTTTAAATCGTAAGATATTTGGTTGCATTCCTGATAAATCCAACGAATCAAAAATTCAATTTGATTTGAACAATAGCTCATTGCTGGGCAATGATTGTTGTATTTTGAAGTTTATAGCGTCAATTTTTATATTTTTGCATTTAAAATAGCTCATTCACGAAACCAGTTATGATTAATATTGTATAATCTTAGCTGGGTCAAACCACGTTAAGTGAACCAGGGAAATTTCGCCAAGTCACCATTAAGAACTCGCATTCTCCCTGAAATAAATATTTCGTCAAAATTAATTTTGTTTTTTGTTGAAGTTGAAAATTTAAATAAAGAGGGCGATAAAATTGAAACATTTTTTTCTCATAAACTACTGGAGATAAATATATGAAATGTTGTGAAGTTAAAGAAAAATGTTCGTGCTATATTATACTCGTAATAGTTTTTAATAGTCCTTTGTTTAAATAAAATAATTTAACATAATTACACAATTTATATAAAAAGTGTTCATCAAGCAAATAAATTTTTGTTCTTTCATACTATTCCAAAGATATTGAATTCTTTCGTCCTCCTACCGCCCTTAAAACGACCTCTGTGCCGCAAGAAAAGCATGAACGCATTGTGCAAAGATGGATGTGCCATACATTTTAAGAGCGGTAGGTGGACCAAAAATTCAAAATCTTTTGAATATTATGAAAGAACAAAAATTTGTTTGCAGGTTATTAAAGGTGAATATTTGTTGTGTCACATATTTCTGAATTTTGTTTAGAAGACTGACAAAAAATTTCATTCAAATCGGCCCAGTCCTTTAGGAAGAGTTTAGTGTCATACTCATGTACAATACATATATATTCATATATAAAGACATACTTGTATGTAAATAAATTATTTTCCCATTTTCTATTGTATAATAAATAAATTATTGATGAAGTGATACATAGTTCCAACTCTTCTTAATGAATAAACCAAAATTTATTGAAATTTAATCAACATACTGAAATCAATCATTAAACTAAGCTTTTTCAGTGGGGGGTTGAAATTAATTCCATTTCAAAACAAATATATTTAACCGAGTTTCAACGCGAAATTACTTTCTATTATAATCTTTTTCAGACCACACAAAACTGTGTCCAAGARTAAGTGGTTCTGGAAGTCATAATTGAACTCAAAATCAGAGGGACTAAGTACTTTAGTGAAGTAAATAATACATTAGTGAAGCACATCACTACGTCGAGCTGCTAACAAAATAGTAACCTAAAAAGTGTATAAAGTCACTCGCACACAATATGTTGATATTATACTAATTCATTTCTACATTTGAACTTATCTATATATATAAAAATAAGAGGCAATTTAATGGTACGCTATAGCTCAAGAACCACTGAACGAATCACCTCCAAATGTTTAGGGTACCTTCGGGACTATGAGTAGATGGTTTCTGTGAAGTTTGCATTGCATTGGACAAGTRGTTTCAAAGATATATGGTCTGTTCTGAAATGCACCATGTTGCGCAAACTGCTTTTGCCGGACCAGCAGCACTGCAAAATGTAAGTATTAGAAAAAAGTCGCCGCTCAGCTAGCTAGCAAGAATGATGCATAACGAGGCATCTCGACAGGATAGAATATATAGAATACGAACTGTCAAATCTATAACYATTGCCATTGCCAAATCTGTATGTGGGCATTTGCTATCATGATATAATCATTTGCGCAAAGGCGTAGGGTTCGAGCTGATGTAGCCCATGCTTTGAGCTCTTGAAAAATTTATTTTATCATTTGCGAAATGCCGTCGGGTAGGTAGCTGATGTAGCGYACGTTTTGAGCTTTTGAGCTGTTGAACTCTTTAAATCTTTTATGTGGAAAATAAAAAAGGATAAAGATCCTTTTGTTTACAAATGTATTTCTGGG